GTAAGATAAAGCGGCAAGGCATTCCATAGGTTTGGACCTATCACAGCAAAGGCTCTGTCCCCCCTAGTTTTCCGCCTGGCCCTTGGTGCCTCCAAGACAAGAAATACTACTAGTTGACTCAAAGCTGAATATTATGACTATGATGCATGCATAAGAGCTGGTTAATACTGATACATGGAGCTGTTAATGAAACACAGACAAATAGTCATACTGAACTTTTCTATTATAAAAGCAAAATAATACTGATGATAAGTAGAAAAATAACTTTAACTCCTGAAATCCAATCCTAACATCATCAACCTCTTCATTGGTGGAATCCTCACTGTCCTCTAAATCAGAAGATTCATTTAGTGGCATAAGTTCTGCTTGGACCATTTCATTAGCTACATTATTCATTTTCTACCTCTTAGTCCCTGAACGGGATCACAGAGCGAATCCCGGCCAGCAATCGGGTGAAGGCGTATGGAGATAAAATCCTATCAAAAATGTTACAAATGCGTGTTTAACGTTTTGTCTGTAACAAGCAATTTGTGTGTGTGTGTGTGTCATGAGGTTCACAAATGCATGCTGTACAAACTGCACATAAAACACATTTTACAAATGCTTAAAATCAATTTTTCGTGTGCAATTCTGTAGAAAGTACGTACAAATTGTTACCTACGCACGCGTGGATCGTCTAACGCACACGAATCACCTTCCGCGCACACACGGATTTTTGAGACTGTTTTTCCGCACTCTCAAAAGTCCACGATCCACGAATGCACGGTGCGTTTAAGGACACGTGGAAAACTCGGACATCTGATTTTCCCAAACAAAAGTATTTACACAACGCTATTCCAAATGGACATTACATAAAATAAACAAAAATATCTAATACATAACACGTTTTAACAGAGAACATCCCAGCTGCCTGCAGTTTGTGGTGCATGTTCTAAATTTTTATATATTAAATATATGCTCCACGGTTTGTTGTGCTATGCTAGATAAGTGGATAGTTCGATATGATGCCACTAGGTGTCGGGCTAGCTTGTCATGCTGTTAATCGCAGCAGCCATGTCTGGACAAAGTCGGGCTGGCT